GTGGAAGCTCCTGCAGCTGCTCCTCCCCCCACCGTTGCAGCATTCCGTGTGCTTAGAATGATTTTATTATCTTTCGGTCTAACAAATAGGTTCTTTGCTTCTACGAATTTTTTTTGTCTTTAACCTTTTTAATTTGTTCTTTCCGGTCTATGGCTGCTTTTAACCATAATTTAGCACATCTCAGCTCATCCTCCTTTTTAGCCTTTATTATTCCCGTTTTTCTTTCTTCACTACTCTCCAAAATTCCAACAATTGTTTGTCATTGATCAATTTTTAGCTTCGAAAATTTTTATTTATTTAAATTTAGTCCAGGTTCGTTGACTCCTAGGGAGTCCTATGAACTGGAGATTTTTTCAGTAGGCCAGCAATTAAAAATACCTTGTTGTGGTATTCTCCACTTCAACTCTTTTGAGTGGGAGAATCTCGCCTTTGCATCCACAAGAGGTTTGCTGCTTACAACCCTACTGTTTTATATGAGGTAAAATACCGAGTGGTATTTTAAACCTCCAATCACTCTCACTTTCACACTTTTTGTCACGGAAATTAAGCGCCTGTCGTCGCCGGACTCTGCAGTCCGTTTAACACGGGTACTATCCAGGCCCCGCAGCCTAACAGGACAAGACCTCCAGCTTTGCAGCACGAAGCTCCGCTCACCTGTTTCAAGAAAATTTTGCACTAGGACTTTCGTTGTCCTACACGGATTTTGTGCATTAATTTTTTACCTGTTAGAGTCTAGAATTTACAGGGTTTTATGTACGCGCAATGACCCTCAGTCACTGGCCACTTTTAACCAAGAATCACTCACCCCTGTTGCCTTTCCTTGGAGTCTCGTCAACCTTCAGATCCCAGCAGGCAGGCAGAGTGCCAGCCCTTGAACAGGTTCTGAAAAGCTTCCACTAGGAAGCTTGCCGTGCACGGTCTCTACTGGTATCCGCCCCACCTGCCGGAATCCTTCCGGTATGTTGAGATCCGGCTCGAAGGACCAAATTATGTCAGAGTTGACACCTATTAAACACAGCACATAACACAGGAAAGACAAGAGAAAGTTAGATTCTTAATGCTCGGGTGGAGAACTGACAGAGATGTGCTTTCAGTTACAAATCTCCTACTGCTCTGAAGCACATTTGCCTGCCCCTCTCTTTAGGATCCCTAATCACAGAGAGCGCTGTAACTCTAAAGGGAGGGGGAAGACACTTCATCACACAGTCACAGCGCCAAGATTATCGCTAACTAACAACACAATCTATCTAACACTAGCTAATCCAGTTCCTCACCCAGGATCAAGCAGGACAAGTTGTACATCTTCACGGCGATGGTTTTATAGCTATCTAAGAGGTCAAAGCAGGGCGTTCTGTGAAGAGCTGTTGTCACTGCTCTTCTTCAGAGAGGCCCTCTGAGAAAGGAAATCAGAGTGATTAACAATACAGAAACATTTCTTAAAACATATGACTAAAACAAATAAGTAAGAATACATAAACTAAGAACATAATAAAGGTATAACAAATAGTTGATAATAATACAATTTACCCAACATTCCCCCCTGTTTATCAAATATTTGTTCCAAATCTCACATCCCTCCTAAAGCAGCCACTTCAAACGATTTTCAGCTGGGAGTTCATTTTTAGGAACGCAAATATTTTTACACTCAAGGGTTGTACTCAGACCAAGAAGCTAAGTCCAAATACGAGTCAGGGAGCACCTTCTCTGAGGATTCTGTGTCAGCTTCAGCATCTTTGAGCAACAAAGGATACATCTGTGCCATCTGGTCCTCCATGGGTGAGATTGCTGTGGTGATGAGACGGTTAAACAAAGAACGCAGACAAGGAATACAACAGCACCCACACAAGGTTAAAATGGCAGCAAAGACTGCCATCGACACTAAAGCAGAGGACACAAGGGTTCGGTACCTGCCAAACACATCCAACCATGGATCCCACATGGAAGTGTTTATTCCAGAGGCTTCCTTCATTTTGCCATTCAGGGTCCGGAGCCCCGTAATGGCCTTCGTCAAGCTCCCATCGGCAGCTGTGTTATTTGGCAGATATGTACAACATCTTTCTCCAAAGATAATGCACACCCCCCCTTTTTCAGCTAGCACCATGTCAAGAGCGATACGGTTTTGGAAAGCCATCAGTGAAGTAGCAGACAACTGCTCATGAACCGCCTCAAACCCGGTCTGTGTCCAGTTGCCTAGTCTCTGCACATTGTAGTGAATGTAGTTGATCCTGTCTACGTTTTTGTTTATAGTATACCACCAACGAATTGTAGATTCAAACCCTGCTGCAATTTGGTACTCATCAGGCACACCACGAGGGACTCCGATGGCATCGATGTATGTTGTGACATCAGTTCCCCACTTCAGCTCTCGTTTCTGCAAGTGATGCTGCTGCTGAGACAGAACATCGATTAGTTGTGTTGCAGAAATAGGATAAACAGAAACAGGTAACAACAAAGAAACTAGAGCACAAAGACCTGTCACCTTCCGGGGTAACCTATCAAAAAGTTTGTCATCGCCACACCACCACCAGACATCTGCACGAGAAACAGGGTTAAAGTCATTTTTTACAGAGAGAACGTCAGTGCACGTTATGCCAGCAGGATTCCCTAATTTTTTCCCGCTCCCTGTTATGTTGATGCATGTGAAATTACCCGGAGCTACTCTTTTAGAGAAGACAGGTTTTGTTCCATCAACTGCTGCAAGAGGAAATATTGAATCATAAATCCTACACGTGCTATTAGGATTAGTTTTACTCATCACTTCTAGTAGACATTGTTTGGTAATAGTTGCTGGTGTTATACGCAGTAAAGGCCTTGGTTCCATACACGCCACACAATCTTGCTTCGCTGTTTTAGCAGCCTGTTCTACCAGTAATAACCAGTTATTACTTAGTCCTGACACACCTGTGCTTACTTTGAACCAGTCGTCGACTGTTTCTACTTCCTTAACTTTTACCCCTTTTGTCCATGGAGAAGTAGTGCTTCCTCCACCTTCTTTAGTCTCTTCACAGAGATTTACTAAAAATTTTGGATCAGGTCCTGATGTATAAGCCCACAAGTAAAATCCCCAGCATGTTGCGTCAGAGTCTTTCTTCTTTATCGTAGGTGGAATAAGGGAATATGTGGTTGTGTTTATGCCTATCTGTATCCCATCATCTGTATGTGAAATACTAAATATTCGTTTTTGGTGCTGCGCGTACTCAGTAGTACCCCAGTCTTTTGTCCATTTATTTTCTTCGTCTGCCACTAGAGTGTCCCAGTTAGTGTTAAGAACGTCATTTGTCATATACCAAGTGTAATCCCTGTAATCTGCTGATGGTATGCTTGCCCAGGAGATTGAAACCACGACCACTGAATTTGGTGAGAAGCATACCTGGATACCTACTCTCATTCCATTAGCAGTGTTGCAAGGATATTTGTGATCAGTAACGCCATGCGTTTGTCTCAGATAGGAACATAAAATAAAAATAAAAATAACACTTTTGTTCGTCATTTCAGTAATTTGTAAGTTCGTTCGGCTCCTAAGGATGCTCCAGGGTTGTGGACAATCTTCACCAGTTTTGAGACGGTCAAACTATTCGGTTTGGCCCCCTTTGTACGCTGGCCTTTTTGCCCTGTAGGTCAATGAGCCTCCGGAACTTATTCTCTCCTTTTTTTTTTTTTTTTTTTTACTTTTGAGCTGAAATTACCTTTTTGCAATGTGACAGGTGAACCCAAGTTGACCTTTCTGCTATTTTTACAGCTGTGGGAGTAGTCAGCAGCACCTGGTATGGTCCGTCCCACTTTGGAGAATACCAGTGTTTCTTCTTTATGCTCCTTATCAGCACCCAATCTCCAGGCTCCACTAATAGATCTTCCTGCTGGGACACAGAAGGAGGATTCTCAGTTTCTTTTTGTCTCTGTTTTTCTAACATGGTTCTCATATAATCAGCTAAATTAGCTTCCTCATCCATTTCCCATTGATTTTTAAAATGCGGCAGTCTGTACGGCCTTCCAAACAATGTTTCAAAAGGTGTAAGCCCTGATGTACTTGTAATGTTAATGTATAATTTTACCAAATCTAAACATTGTGTCCAGGGCCTACTGGTTTCTTCAATACATTTTTTTAGTCTGTTTTTAATTGTAGCGTTCATCCTCTCCACTAACCCAGCACTCTGAGGATGGTAGCCACAGTGATTTTTTTTAGATCTATGTGAAACATAATTCCGATTTTCTTTATAATTTGATTTACAAAATGAGTGCCATTATCACTATATATTTTCTCAGGAATCCCATATCTAGGAATTAAGTCTTTGCAGAGCGCTTTTGCTACCGTTGAGGCATCCGGGCTTTTGGTTGGAAAAAGTTAAATCCACTTAGAGAAGGCATCAATTATCACCAAGCAATACATTTTCCCTTCACTTTTATTTAATTCTATAAAGTCCATGTGCATAACTTGGAATGGGTATTGTGGGTTTGGAAATTTTCCTCTACGCGGTCTTAGATTACCTTGAGAATTGTGTTTTGCGCAGATTAAACAAGTTCTACAAAAAGTTTTCGAATAAGAAATAAATCCATAAGTAGTATAATGTTGATGTACTTGTCCGACCATTCCCCCTGTCGAGACATGCGACACACCATGGCTCGATATTGCAGCCCATTTATATAGATTTTTTGGTAAAATAGGTTTATTTTCAGAGCTTTTATAGATATCATCAATTATTGTTGCTCCTTTCTTTATCCATAAGTCTTTTTCATTTTGTGGACTTGCCTGTTGCATTTCACGTAAAACTTTTGATCATAAGATTGAGTTTTCTTCTAGGTGCAACACTGTTACTTTTCCTGCCGCTGCTTGTTTTGCCATCTTATCAGCGAACGCATTCCCCAGGGACACTTTGTCTGTCCCCGCAGTGTGTGCCGCACATTTGCAGATTGCTAGTTGTTTAGGGAGTTGTACAGCTTCAAGTAATTCTTTTAACAATTCTGCATGTGTCACTGGCTTTCCTGTTGATGTTACCATACCTCTATGTTTCCAATATTGTGCAAAGGTATGAACAGTTGCAAAGGCATACTGACTGTCAGTATAAATCGTTACTGTTTTATCCTTCATAAGTTTACAAGCTGTGGTAAGTGCGATTAATTCTGCTGCTTGTGCCGAGTAATGTGAGGGGAGCTTTTCAGCTTTCAGCACAGTCTTATCAGTTACCACTGCATACCCAGTTTGAGTTTTTCCTAGTTCGTCTTTCTTTGAGGAACCATCTACAAAAAGTATTTCACCTTTCTCTAATGGTAAATCTTTTAGATCACTTCTACTTCTAGCTGTTTGTTCAGCTAGTTCCTGACAGTCATGTTTTGTGCCATCATCTGTGACAGGTAACAGTGTTGCAGGATTTAACACTGTGCACCTCTCAATGGTCAGATGAGGCTGAGACAACAGGGTGGACATACACAAGAGGTGTCTTGCAGGTGATAAAAAGGTCATATTTGTCTGTAACAATAGTGCTGATACCGCGCGTGGTACTTTTAGCATTAATGGATGGAATAGTACAATAGAAGTGCTAACTTCGACAGCCATGGAAGCAGCAATAACAGCCCTCACACAGTGAGGCAACGCACACGCCACACTATCTAGTTTAGAGGAGTAATATGCGACCGGTCTCATTTTATCACCATGTTGTTGTACCAGTACTGAGGTCATGAAATGGCCTTTGCAGTCCACCATCTGAACGAAAGGTTTTTGATAATTTGGTAAGGCTAGGGCAGAGGTTGACACAAGGGCCTGCTTTATTCTGCAAAATGCCTTCTGTCCATTTCAATGGAGAGGACATTTTGAGATCTTCATTGTACATTAATTTGTTTAAAGATGCCACAATTTCTGCATAATTAGGCACCCAACTTCTACAGTAATTGGTCAACCCTAAAAATGACATCATTTGTTTTTTTGTTTGTGGTTTTGGCGCTTGGAGAATTGCTGTTTTTTTATCCTCCATAATGGTACGCCCCTCCGCACCCAAATTATGACCCAGATATTTTACTTGTGTCTTGCATAGTTGTAGTTTATTTTTATTGACCTTATGACCCTCTTCAGATAAATGTTTTAGAAGCGCCAAAGTGTCTTGCAGACAGATTTCCCTGTCCGGAGACGCTAATAAAACATCATCAACATATAACAAGATTTGGCTCCCTCCTGGGGGTTGAAATGTTGACATGCTTGCACTCATAACTTGTGCAAAAATTGTAGGGCTTTCACAATAGCCTTGGGGCAATCTGGTATATGTGTACCTTTTTCCTTCAAAAGTAAAAGCAAACCAATATTGACTTTCTTTTTCTATTGGTATTGAGAAAAAGGCATTGCTGATGTCGACTACTGTGAATACTTTTGCATCTGGTCTAAGAGAATTCAACAATGTGTGTGGATCAGGAACACAAGGGGCCCTCTGAATCACCGCATTGTTTACTGCTTGTAAGTCTTGGACCATATGCCAACCAGTAGAAGGAGACTGTTTCTTTACCGGAAAGATAGGAGTTTTACATGGAGAATTTTTACACTCTACTATGACTCCTGCTTCAATAAGGTCTTTAATTACCGGTTTTATGCCTTCCTGTGCATCTTTCTTAATAGGATACTGTTTCACTCTTGGTCTAAACTCTGTTTTGGGCCTAATCTGCACAGGCAAAGCTCCTTTGACAAGGCCCACATCTGTAGGTCCTTTAGACCATAAATTCTGAGGAATGTCCCTGAGGAGGACTTCCTCTTCTTCTGATAACATCAGTTGTCAGTGTCGGCTGGGGTGTAAATGTTGCCCCTTTTGCACTGACACAGACCAGCTCAATGTTTTCCTGGTCAGCCCAGTAGACTGGCTGACTGCTAGATTTGTGGAAGTGGTTACCCAATCGGTAGCTGCGTTCCCTTCTTCCACAATTCTGCCTAAATGGCTCCACTGCACATCTTTTTGTTTGAAAAGAGGCAAATGGAGAGACCTCCACATTTTGTTTAATGGTTTCAGTTTGTCTGGGAGAGCAACAGCTGCCACCGCGTTGTGCTCTGTGTCTGTGTACAGATAGGTCACCCTTATCATGGCCGGGGTAACCTTTTCGATTGCGGCCTCATAATTCTTATCAGGCCCAGGAGTGTTTTTGACCCAAAGGGTGATATGTAGGTCCTCAGGAGACTTTTGATCCTGTGGAGCGGAGATTACTTTACGCCCCTCGTCCAGGAGTGCTTGCGCACTGTTGTGTGGAGGTTTATGTGGGATTTCCAACGAATAATAATAATATGGTTCTCCACATCCCTGGACTACAAAGAAATCTCCCCTTTTCATCTCCGACCGTCTTTTAACTGCAATGTGTCCCTCAGTGGTTGGAATCAAAGCTAATCCTAGCTGTAAGAGACCGTCTCTCCCTAGTAGATTTACTGGGCATTCTGGAAGCATCAAAATGGACATTTGGCAAGCCTGTCCTTGTGGATCTCTGAGCCATACTATAGCTCCGATTCGTTGGCTTGCGTCAGTTTCCCCCCAGCGGATCTTACTGTGACAGTTTCCCCACTCATCTTTACCCCTGGGATGTTTTCCCTACACGCTGTTCTACATGCACCAGTGTCACAAAGGAAAACTACAGGTTTACCATTTATGAAAAGAGTTACTTCTGGTCTAATACTGTCCATAGATAATAGGTCCTGCAGATTTAATTGGACTTCTGTATCTCCCAGTTTTCCTGATTCTAGTCATGCTGATTGATTTAATCCGGTTTTATTTGGACAATCTTTAGCGATATGCCCTTCTTGTCCACAACACCAGCATCCTGAATTGTTTTGTCGGTAGTATCCTCTTCCCCTTTTATTCTCTTTTCCTCTGTAATGCTGACCTCTGCCTCTGAACCCTCCTTTTCCTCTTTTTTCCTGATAGAACACTTGTTCCTCCTCCTGGAAAAAAGCCCCTGAAGCTTTTTTCTTTTCTTTTGTGACCTTCTCTGCATGAATAGCATGATTTATGTATTCATCTAGAGTCCCAGTCCCCAATCCTATGTAATGTTTAGTTACCCATGCCTTTATTCCTTCTTTTGACCCGCATGCAATGCGTTTTTCAGTTGTTGTCTATATGCGCTGTTTTCCTCCCCACTTTCCACTAACCCACTATGTATTTTAAATGCAGTTGTCATTCTTATTCTATAGTCCTCAAAAGATTCATCTTCCTTCTGTTTGACTCTGCTTATCTCAATGTAATTTGCTCTGCGTTGGTATCTCTGAACTGTCCTTGCTGCTAAGGCCTTCACTCTAGTTGTTAATTCCTCACAATTGTATGCAAGAGCTGCAGGAGGATTGCCCCGTACTGGGCTCCATTCTCCCCAATCATGATGCCAGTCGGAGCTTAAAGCAGTCATCCATATCTGTTGGACTTCCTGTCCATTCAGGTTATAGGATTGGCGCAGACCTTCCATTTCTTCAACAAAACGGTTCACATCCTCTTTAGGAGGTGTAATCCCTTCTAACGCCTTCTTAACATCCTCCAAGGTCCACGTTCTGTACACCAGAATTGTGGGATTTGCTCCATCTCCCCCTATATTAGGATTTGCTACTTCTATCATGGGATATAAGCCAGCTGTATATTGTTGATTATCTGTCCCTGTTGGATGTTGGAGGGAGGGGGGAGGAGGCTCTGGAGGAGCCGTCGCTCCCTGTACTAGGCTTTCTCCCCATGTTCTGGACCACTCATACTTTTCTCCTTTTGATCTAGTATTGGGTCCTTCGCTACGGTTTTCTTCATATTCTGGGGGTGAAGGCAACTCAGGGTATAATCTTTCAGACTGTTTTTTTCTCCTCAGTGTTGTTGCTCTTGCTCTCATCCCCTTTATCTACTGCTACTTCTTCACCTCCTCCCGCTACTGACTGCTGCACTGTCTGATATCTCCCCGGCCCAGTTTCATTATCTTCACTTCTATGGAACATCAGATTCTTTTCTACACTTTGCTCTGTTTTTCTCCTAGATTTTTTTTTTCCCTTCTTCTCTTTTTAAAGCTTCTTCTAACCAAAATTCTATATCATCATACCCTTCTGCGTGCATCTTTTTTGGATTTGACTTTGTTTTTTGCTTTGTTATCCCGTAGTAAAGTTAGTTTCTGTGAATTTAGTCGGCCGTCAAAGTTATAGGTAGTTATCCATTTATCTAAATGTTTTATTTTGCGCGGATCCTTGTTTTCAACATATTTCCAGTCATTTGTTTTTAGACTATCTGTTGGTTTATTTTTGCTGATCCCTTTCCCCATCTTTAATTAAAATTTGGTCCAGGTTCGTCCTATGAACTGGAGTTTGTTTCAGTAGGCCAGCAATTAAAAATACCTTGTTGTGGTATTCTCCACTTCAACTCTTTCGAGTGGGAGAATCTTGCCTTTGCATCCACAAGAGGTTTGCTGCTTACAACCCTACTGTTTTATATGAGGTAAAATACCGAGTGGTATTTTAAACCTCCAATCACTCTCACTTTCACACTTTTTGTCACGGAAATTAAGCGCCTGTCGTCGCCGGACTCTGCAGTCCGTTTAACACGGGTACTATCCAGGCCCCGCAGCCTAACAGGACAAGACCTCCAGCTTTGCAGCACGAAGCTCCGCTCACCTGTTTCAAGAAAATTTTGCACTAGGACTTTCGTTGTCCTACACGGATTTTGTGCATTAATTTTTTACCTGTTAGAGTCTAGAATTTACAGGGTTTTATGTACGCGCAATGACCCTCAGTCACTGGCCACTTTTAACCAAGAATCACTCACCCCTGTTGCCTTTCCTTGGAGTCTCGTCAACCTTCAGATCCCAGCAGGCAGGCAGAGTGCCAGCCCTTGAACAGGTTCTGAAAAGCTTCCACTAGGAAGCTTGCCGTGCACGGTCTTTACTGGCATCCAGCCAACCCGCCGGAAACCTTCCGGTATGTTGAGCTCCGGCTCGAAGGACCAAATTATGTCAGAGTTGACACCTATTAAACACAGCACATAACACAGGAAAGACAAGAGAAAGTTAGATTCTTAATACTCGCGAGGAGAACAGACAGAGATGTGCTTTCAGTTACAAATCTCCTGCTGCTCTGAAGCACATTTGCCTGCTCCTCTCTTTTTATTGTCTTTAGGATCCCTAATCACAGAGAGCGCTGTAACTCTAAAGGGAGGGGGAAACACTTCACACAGTCACAGCGCCAAGATTATCACTAACTAACAACACAATCTATCTCACACTAGCTTATCTAGTTCCTGACCCAGGATCAAACAGGACAAGTTGTGAATCTTCATAGCGATGGTTTTATAGCTATCTAAGAGGTCAAAGCAGGGCGTTCTGTGAAGAGCTGATGGCACTGCTCTTCTTCAGAGAGGCCCTCTGAGAAAGGAAATCCGAGTGATTAACAATACAGAAACATTTCTTAAAAGATATGACTCAACTAAATAAGTAAGAATACATAAACTAAGAACATAATAAAGGTATAACAAATAGTTGATAATAATACAATTTACCCAATTGTATACTTTATTATTAAAGTATAAATATTATACTTTATTAACCGTATAATAAAGTTGAAAAGTGATAGCAGTAATGTGGCATTTACCAAAACAAAGATGGAGAGCAGAATAGAAATATCAATTAGCATCCCTCTGTGGGGACATTCAATGAAAAACAAAGAGATATACATAGAAATAACCTGTAAGGGACTGTAAATTAAGGTCAAATATACATTACTTTGGGTTCGTTGGGAACAGCTATGATTATGGAGTCTAAGAGTCACTGGGAGGAAGGACCTACGATAAAACTAAGTTGGGGATTTAGGTTGTAATTGCTTCTTAAATTGTCAGTCGTCTTATAACTATTGCTGGAATGAATTCATAATACTCAATATCACAGTTACAATTGTTTCTGTTTGGAATTTAAGAAAAATATAGAATATAGAGTCTCTAATATTACTTTTTTGTATGTTTCTTGCTGCTGGATGTCCTCATTGAGGGGCTATTAAGGATATTTCTACTTTATTCTTTTGTATTGCTTAACATAGATAATTGTAGAATGTCGGAAATTTGCCTTGTAATTGGATATGAACATCCGTAACTTAAAACTGGCGACAGCAGAGCAGCACACCGATGTTTTGAGTTTGTGCAACATTTCATAAAAATGTTCTCCTGTTGTACTTTAATGCTCAGTTTAGATGTCAAGTAATAAATCATTTTGAATTAATTAGGGAGATGGAGCTTTTTTTTGTTTGTTTGTTTGAATACAACCAGCCAGAACAACAGGATGCAAATCACCAGCTTTATTATCAACGATGTAAGACGGTCTCCCTCCAGCTGGTCCAATCTAACACTGAACAGTGCATCTCACCCTGTTTTTGTTGAGGCTCCTGCACATGAACGCCTTTTGTATGTTTGTTTTCTTCCTTTAGGGTCAGAGGTGATTGTCGGTGTGAACAAGTACCGCCTGGAAAAAGAGGAGACCGTGGAGGTGCTCGCCATAGATAATACCATAGTACGTCAGAAGCAGATTGAGAAACTGAGAAAGGTTGGTACCGCAATTGACTTGAACGCACCGTGCGGCCGGGAAGATTACTCTGCTCAAAGAAAAGTGATGGAGGACCACAGGTTGAATTCATGTCATGTCTAAAAACAGTGAAGCATTTTAGTTCCAAAAAAAAAAAAAAACCCTTCTGCTGCAGTCATGTTATGGAAATGTTTCAAATGCATCATTTTACGTATAATACCAACAAGTTGGGACATTTTCTGTCCATCTTGTCTCATGTGAAACATGTCGAGGTTCATGTTGTTTTCTATGTCCAGGTTTTTGTCTTCAAAACTTTATTGTTTGTCTACTTCTGACAGCCTCCTTTCGGTTCTCTGATGATATCTTATATTTTTTAAGTTTTTCTTTTAGCATCCTACCGTCTGCTTTCAAGGTTAAGTTGGAAAGGACAGCCTGACTTGGCTATTTTTCAGCTGTTTGACGTCTTCCACCTTTAAGCTATTTCAGTACTATAAAAATGATATCAAATTCTTATGAGACCTTTTTAAATTCCTTACCAGACTCATGAAATCACTGTAATTATTATGGTGAGATCCCAAATAAATATTTGATGCTTAAACACCTCAAACGTAATTAAAATCGTTGATTAATTATGTTTACTAATCTTGCATACCAGATGTAAAACGTGTGTGCAAAATCAGATATTTTTAGTTGGAATAAATGTGAGGATGTTCTAATTCATTTCTTACCTAAAATTGCATAAGTTGAATTTCCATTTTCCAGAAAAAATTCAAAGGTTTTTTATTCTTAGTTTATTTGACTAGAGTTTTTAGGCATTGCTACAATAACATTAAATATATGTACCCAGATATGAGAAAACAGCGTTGTGTAGGGTGACCCTCATCCACTGGGAGAAAATTATCTTTTTTTCTCATTCCCTGTTAAAATCGTGTCTTTTTAAGGGATTTGGAGGGGGAAAAAAGGACCCTTCTTTGCCAAATATGAAGAGTCTGTGCTCCGAGCTCCGTGCTTGAAACAGATGAGTTTTGAACTCGGCACATAAACTGTTTGCCCTGCAGAAATATTTAATTTATGTCCTAAACTTTGATACTCATTTCCGCCAACATCAAAGCAAAAATAGACCAAAACTAATGTTCTACTGTGCACACAATTTAAAAGTATGAATTTGAAGAAAGCCACAGAGTGTGGTGGCTTTCTTTCAGGTTCTTTCTTTGTCTGTAGCTTCCCGGTTTATTTCATTCTTACCAGCTTACGACTTTATTTTAGGTGAAAGAAAGTCGTGATCCCGAGGTAGCGAAGAAGTGCCTGGCAGCTATTGAAGAGTGTTCCCGAACCAGGGAGGGCAACCTTCTCGCCCTGGCAGTGGAGGCAGCCCGGGCCAGGTCAGAACCGCTCGACCAGAACAAACTTTGTTAATGTTGGAAGGAACGCTTAGTGCATCCAGAGCACTTTCATTCGTCTTGGTGTAGAATTTTTGCCACCTGCATAATTTCAGCAAATGTGACGATCTGATGAAAAATAACTGGCATTTGCTGACTCATAAAGTAACACAGTCATTCACATCATTTCTCCAGAAGCTGCAGTTAAAGAGGCACTTAAGGCAAGGGGGCTTAATTTTCATGTCGCATATAGATGTTGATAAACTCACTAGGGAGAGTCGCCTCAAACCACGTCTTTTTAAACATTCCCAGATGTTACTTTAATGAACTAACCTCATAATTAGATGTCAAGTTATATTTCAGTCAGTATAGTAGTAATCAGTTACAGTCTGAAAGGCGTGTGTGTGTGTGTTTGTGAGTGTGAATGAGTGAAATGTGGCTCTGTTGCAAAGCTCTGAATTGTCTAATGTCTAGAAATGCAATATATATATATATATATATGTACATTCACTCCATTTATTATTAAAAAAACAATTTGGATGCAGGTTTCTAACTATGTGGAAGCCTCAAAGCTGCTGTTCATAGTTGGAGAAGGCCTTATTTGATCTTTCCTGGAAAATCTCAGTTTTCTGATTCTTAGCAATCAGGGTTTCAGAAGGCACATTCTACTAAAACTGCACCTTTAAGTGCACATAATGATCTTTTGATCGCTGCAGATGATGGGAATTTTTCCTACACTTGCATTACTGAGCCTCAGCGCAGCATTGGACTCTGTGGATCACAGTATTTTTCTCAGTAGGCTCAGACGTCGGGCTGTTATTTCTAGCTCTCTGTCAGACTGATTTTCTTCCAATTTAAAGGAGAGGAGTTTCTCTGTAAAAGCAAATCTCCCATTGTTATTTTCCTTTCTTATATTTCCTTTAGCGGATATTGTTCGGCGTTTCATTGTCCATCTCCTACCAATATGGGCTAACGACATTAAGTCATCTGGGTTTTTTTTTTTTTTTTTTTAATAAGTGATCCCCCTTGAGCCTCACTGTGATAAAGGACTGACTTTTATCTAATTTCCAGATGGATTTTTACTTTCATTAAGATCCGTCTCTGTCTTAAATAGGAACATTACTAAATAGAATGATTGTTCATACTTGTATCGACTGATATGGTGCATTGTTTAATTAATTAATTAATTGATAAAACATTAATTTCTATTAAAGGGATTTCCATTTGCACAGAACTCGGGTTCATTTTTACACTTTTAGTTTTATTCAAAGAGGCCCGTATCTGCTGTTCTATCATAAAAATTATTCATACTGCAATATCTTAGTATCTAAATATCTTTCAATTTCCAAAAGATGTGAAAAAACTGGGTTCTGAAGGCAGATTAAATACTGTTTGTCATTATAAATGCATGAACTAGATGCATCATATTCAGCCAGTCCTGCTGATGAAATGCTGGGAAGCCGTGTACAAGACGTATTTAGTGGTCTTTACATTTGCATAGGCAACCCAACCCTCTTTGTGTTATTGGTTTAATTCTCTAAAACTCTATTATGCAACCCTCAGACTGAAGTCCTTTCTGCAAACGTAATTGAAAAGGAGAAAAAAGGAAAATCCAGCGAAACACAAAATCCTCTTTTGGAAACGGTTGTCTTCATTGAATTTCAGTGGGATGCTGAGCGATAGTCATTGTGGTCGTTTTTACGTAGATGCTCCGTCGGTGAAATAACCGACGCAATGAAGAAAGTGTTTGGTGAGCACAAGGCCAGCACCAGGATGGTGAGCGGGGCGTACCGCAGCGAGTTTGGAGAGCACGAGGAGATCGCTCTGGCCAACAACAGGTAGGAAACCACCCCTGTTCTCTTTACGGCCGTCTACATGGCAGGTTGAGTCTTATATCTTTCTTCTTTTTTTTTTTTCTTAACAATTAAGAGTTACAGAGTTTAAGAGACATGAGGGCAGAAACCCTCGTCTACTGGTGGCAAAGATGGGACAGGACGGCCATGACAGGGGAGCCAAGGTCATCGCCACGGGCTTTGCCGACTTGGGGTTTGATGTTGACATTGGACCGCTGTTTCAGGTCAGCGATTCTTCTTATCTGTATTCGCTATGGCTAACCTATGCTACCGTAGCTTCGTCCCATTACAAATGTGCACAAAACTTTGTAGATGGTCCGCTAATCACACTCGAATACGTTTGTTCACGCAATAAGTCCTTAAAAAAACGTGCCGCGCCATCATCCTCCTTCACTTCCTGTCGTCTTCTTTGTAGTTTCCCCCAGTAGTAACATCTGGTTTTTGATCATGTGTGACGCAAAAAAAGTGTTTCCATCATGAAATGAACCAGGTTTGACACAGACGGGAAACAACCTCATCCCAGCGCAAAAACTTTTTAGCGAAAAACATTTTGTGTTGGTTGTTTTTTTTTATTTTTAAATTGCCATGTTTCCATTAAGCAAATTTATTTTCGTAATTCCAATTTGCGCAAATGATTAATGGTCGATGGAAATGCAGCTCATGAGAGGATTCAGTGGCGAACATTACACAGTAGCTTTAGCTTGATAAAGGAGTTAAACAAATCTGCTTTATGCTACCTTTTAGCCAGTTGAAAAGGCTAATCTAAGGTATTAATTTATGGTAGCAATCTGCACATTCTTCTGTGTTAAATGACATTGAGGGCAAGCTGGAAAGAAACCTTTTTAATGTTAAAATCTGACACAGCAACTGCATTTATGAGCTAATACGCACAGGCTTCCTCGTGTCTGTCTAATTCGTTCATCCATTCATCCATCCAGAAGGGAAGGGAAAATAACAGAGCAGATTTGCTGCTTCCCACCACTGATCAGCCTCTGGCAGCGCGGATAGAAAGACAACATAAGACAAAGTGTTTGCTCACAGCACAGCTCTCCTTAGGAACTGGATTGTTTTGGTTGATGCCTCTTGCTTTCCGTTACCCTCCTGAGAGATGCGGCTTTTATTTATTTTGTAGAGAAATATTTGCAGTTAAGAAAGATATTAAACACATATTTTTAAAAAATCTTGTCAGAGAGAGGAGCAAACCTCACACATGACCAGAAAGAAACTCTGTGGTGCGGCTTTATTGCTTCTGTTTTTGTGTTATTGTCTGTTCTTGAGTTGCAAGCTTGCTCTTCCATCAGACTCCCCGGGAGGTGGCCCAGCAGGCGGTGGACGCTGACGTTCACTGCGTTGGGGTCAGCACGTTGGCAGCAGGACACAAGACCCTGGTACCAGAGCTCATCAAAGAGCTACGGAAGCTCGACAGGCCAGATATCTTGGTCATTTGCGGAGGAGTCATCCCACCACAGGTGACTTCTGGGTTGTATTTTCACCAAGTTTTAACGCTTACGTTGCTTGGAAAAGTCCTAGTTAAAGTCCAGAGGAACTAGGGCTGCAGTTTCACAATAATTTTGCTGATCCAGGTAGAGATTATGTCAGATGTAAATTCACTCCATAAGTCAGGTCCTCCCGTTTTTTTGGCGATTCCATAATCACACAAAATCAACGGATCCCCACATTTTTTGCCCTAATGCAAAATTCTGAGTTTATTCCACAAAAATAGTCAAAACCTTTGAGTTTTAGTGATTGCTAATGCCCACCTGCAGGTGGCGGTGTTTTTTACTCCTACTACTATGCTTCCTCAGCCTTACTTAATGTCAAGGTGTAGTAGAAATGGGTGGTGATTGATATGGCTAGTAGCAAAAATCGACTTAATGAGGCGAGGACTGAAGTTAACCAAGGCATTCATGAAAAAAAAAGAAAAAGAGTTAAGAGTTACGTAGAGATGTTTCTGTCAGTTTTTTTTTTTTATAAGAAAATGAATGTATCCCCTATGGTTAAGGTCAGAAATCTGTTAAAACCTGTGTCTCTGCGCCTTTGTAGGACTATGAATTCCTCTATCAGAGCGGCGTGTGCGCCATCTTCGGTCCAGGAACCAGGATTCCTCAAGCTGCAGTCGAAGTAATTGACAATATTGAAAAGAGCCTGGAGAAACTACGACAAGCCTTGTAAGAAAAACACAAAATGCTGTTTTCCATGAACAGTGTGGTTTATTTCATTTAAGCTGTGTGTCACACTATGTGAATTTCATTCCCTGCACATCTTGGATGCTTCAGAAATGAGGTCAATGAAATACTTATCATCTGACGGCGGTGTAGGCCTGCAGTGTAATGATATTCTGCCGTTTCTTAGCAGAGTGTAATTAAAGTCAGAGGAGTCGCCATGTGTAGATAGAAACCAAAATCAAGTGTCCTTCTTCATAATTCTCTCCTCCTTAGATCACTCTAAGGACTTTTAGTGTCCAGGTCAGTGTGTGTTTCATTTTATTATTTCTCCTGCATGTTTAAAAGCAATTAAAAGTATTGTTCGGAGAAAAGCATTAATGATCACCATGTTGAAAACAGTTGGAATGTGATTCTCTTCTATGTGTGATCTACATCCTGCTTGGATTCTTTCCTTGAAATAAAGTTGTTTTTTTTTAACTTTGGCAGTGCTCTCTGTCACTTCAACCGCCTCATTCTTTCTGGGATTTATATTGGATATATTGTGAGATTTGATTCCCATTTTTCTTTGTTCAACATGCACATATTTCTGTTTATGGCAAACAGGTTATGTTGCCATTTTTGTCCAGATAGTCTACAGTTTGACGGTTACAGTTTAATTTTAAGCATCTCTGATCTTTGCTTGGCATATGTTGGATTCATAGCAATAAAATTAAAGGCGTTTATGACCTTCTTGTCGTGTTCAGTTCCTCTGCCCGCGACCACAAAAAGTGTTTGAATTTGAGATGAATTATACCATGAGTATGTTGGATATAAATGACACATTCACGTAAATCGTTATAACTGCCACTGCGTTTGTAATCATTACGTGTTTATCCATTAATATGACCAATAACTTGTGCACATAAAAATGCTCAAAAGTCCGAGCTTTACATTCACAAATTGCTAAATAAAATGTTCAACAGATTCAAGGAGGGGGAAAAAAAGAGATAATATTGCACACAAATAAAATTTGAAGTAAAATTCTGCACTATTTACTGTGGGGAAGAGTTGTGTCTTTTTTTTTATTTATTTTTTTAAAGGAAAGAACAAATAAACATAATACTCTCAAGGCAGCTCATGTTGCGTTCACAGATACAGACATACACCACACAGAAGGTTAAATGCAATTATTTTTCCAGACAGATTTACTGAACAAAATGCAAACTGAAAGCAAAGTAAGGTCACTTGTTTGCTAAACTCTTCCATCCAGTGGGATGTACAAAACTACACAGCTCCGTTTTTCATGCTGCCAAGCTGTTGACAAGTGAATCTAATAAAGCTTTTTATTTTGAAGGTTGAGCTTTGTTCAAACGGTGAAACCAGACAATAAAACATCACCTGCAGTAAATGAGTCTCACAAGCCAAGAGTGTACTTGTAGTGAGTAACATACGTGTGTTAATTCTCAGCACGCCTGTGTGTAACGTGTGCCAAGTGTCCAGTGATCTATAACTTTAATCTATACCCAAAGTACACATTTTAACCACTGGTTATTCTTGAAAATTATTCACGCAAATAAACAGAATGAAGCTGAGCTTGAGCGGTGAATGTTGTGCACAGTGTGGTTTGTTATAATTAAACGTAATATTCCTGTTTTATGACCTGTGTCGCACTCTGCCGATGTGTTTTCCCCGTTAGCCTCTTTACTTTGATGAAATCATGATTGGCTTTAGAGCTACTGGCCTGCAGGAGTAAACAAAAGTGGCTTTCCACAAGGTTCACGGGTGCATTTGTGTAATGAGCGCGGTCGGATGAAGCGGTCTCTCCTCCGGCCGACGTTTTCTGTCTGGTTGAGGTCAGGAATGCGCAGACCGCTCCACTTCCTCATCCACGTCCCTGTGCTCCTTGCTTTTTAGCAATCATGTCGGAGAAAGAAACAGTCATCCATTGGGATGAAATTATCCTGAAGCAGTAAGCGCACCCTTTACTGGAATTACTTTTTGATGACGTAAGGGTTAAATTTAGCTGCTCGATCAGGAATCCCCTCCAGTAAACGCTCTGTTTGTACTCGGACAGAACTCCTTCCTTCCTCTGATCACACTTTTGTGATGTGATTTCACAAGGCTCGCCTCTTTCAGGCCGAGTTTCTGTCGTTCCCAATCTTTTCTGGTCTGTAATAATACCACTAACAGCTGAGCTGACCGAGGAACACTTAAAAGCGAGGTAACGAGGTACCTGCCACTTCTTTGAAGCAGCTTACATATTTCATGCAGACGGCCGCGGCTTCTCAGCCTCCTTCACAACTCTGATGTACAGGCGACCCACGGGATACATTTCCCCACATTTTCTCATATTTCTGAGAGCTTTCAGCTCCTCCTGCCTCAAATTCTGAGTAACTTTTCTCATCTTTCTTGCTTGTTTTTTGTCCACTATCTGGATTTGGATTATCTAAAGCGGACTGACAGATACAGGGATTTTTTTTTTTTTTTGGGTGAACCAGGTTGACCTTCTTTGACCCACAGTGGAGTTCAGTTTCACATATTACTTGCCTCTCCAAATGAACTGGATTTTCTGGGCAAATGAGCCGCAGTTTCGTTCAGCAAAGCTAGTGTGACTGAAAACTTCTTGTCTGTAGGTAAACTAGTGACTGCTCATGATGTCTTAATAAAACCCAACTTCAAAAAAGAAACAACTTTAACCCCAAACCTGGTCTTTTTACATGGCAGTGCGCGTAAACCCAATGAAGATTTAAATTTCCCTGCAATGCAGCACTGCTTTCAGCACAGGTGGCAAAACAGCCAAGTGAAAATACTGCTGATTCGCTGCATATTTTTCTAATGTGAAACAAAAGCGGTTTTATAAATAAAAATAAGACAAATGAAGATTATTTCCATCAATTCTGCTGTTAAGTTAAAAATGTGCTTTATTGTAAATAAGAATATTTTATTGTGCATTTCTGAAATAGTTATGCTTACTGGGTTTGTTTGGTCATAGTCTCTTTAATTTGTATGTTTTTGTATTTTCACTGGTGATTATATTGTGGCCTCCAAAAGTATTCACACATTGAACAACAACCTTCAGTATACCTTATTGGGTCTTAAAGCCACAGGCCAAAACAAAGTAGTGTGTTCAGTATGAGCACAACACTCTAACCAGACGGTCACAGCTACAACGAAACGGTTAAGAACAAAGTCTGGTCGTGTGTCCCAGTCAAAGTCCAGACCAAAATTTTAATTGAAAATGTGGTAAGATTTGCAAATAGTAGCTCACAGATGAGCCTGAACCTGAGTTTCAGAGGGGAACGTTTTCAGATTTAATGAGTGTCACCAGTTTACTTTTTAATTTAAGGAGTTAAAAATCTATAATTATTGTTATTTTTCTTCCATTTAGCTATTCTGCACAACTTTGTGTTGGCCGATTACTTAACATCTCAACAAAGTACAGAGTTGTGATTGTACTGTGACAAAATGTGAAGGCGAACCAGGAGAAAGAATAGCTTTGAAAGGCACATTGTCAAAACAATAATGGTGCATAACAGTGAAGGCCAAATACAGGAAATGATGCAGAAGGGAAATTATGGAGAATAGAAACTCAAAAGTGACGCACTTTGTCAATAGTACCTGCAAAACACGTTTACCTCACTAATATGCTTATCTGGTTTCTCTGTAATAATGTGGTGCAGCCTGATTGTACCATAAACTCTTTCTGATCAATACAGAGAGTAAATAAAAGAGAAAACCTAAAAAAAAAAAGAAATCAGGGCTGTTCAGATCAGAATGCAGGAAGCAAATTCTTCTACAAGGTTTGGACAGATTTTACTAAGCGAATACTTTATAATATTATTTTGGTTCTCCAAAGTACAAAAAAGAGATTAAACTGATGAAAATTCTGATGATGGAGGTGAAATCTATATTCAGCAGGAGAGAAAAACCCAAATCGGTTTAAAGGTTTTGTGTGTTGCTTTTATTGCCATCTAGTGGTCAGGATGGAACTAGCAACCTCCTCGTAAACCAACTATTTTCCCTTTATTTACTAAAGTATTCTTATTCAGTATATGAGTAGTCAGTGCAGAAAACATTTATATTGTTAAGATTAGCAGTAAGACAGTGTGAGCATGCTGTTGGTAAATTCTGCATGGTTTTAATCGTCTTAACATGCAATACCTCATTATTTGATGAATTCTGATGCATTCGGTGACACTACATTTGCTCCAGACAACAAAGGCAAAGTGGCAAATCAAACACATCCACGTATGTGTCAACCACGGCTTTTTAACCAGTTATTTTCTGTGATTCACCTGCATTTTTGCCACTATGCCGCAATCGATGCAGCCAGAAAAGTTGACATGTTTTTTTTAAAGACATGTCATGACGCATCTTTGGAGTTTTTCCAATGACTACATAAATAGCTAGCCTCACTTCAGCAACAAAACACTAAAAGTGTAACCCAAAAGTGCTGATATTTCACTTTTTTTGACTACTGTCAAAACTGATATAAAAGCAGAACCACTGCATTCGTTATGTTCCATTATGCTCTACAGAAGTAACTTCAACAGCCATACACGTCTCCAAAAATTTAGTTTTTAAGTGCAGAGTTTCATTTTTACAACACAAACCTGTTTTAGACGGTGCCTTTAAAGTTACATACCGCTCAAGTTGTAAGAGGTGTTGTACATTTACACATCATGACACAAGGCTCAGACAGAATAACAGCACCTTCTTTACAACCTTGCGTTCTTGCATGAACCGCCGTTGGGGAACGGGCTCCGTGTGGCCTTCAAGGACAGCACAGCTACCGTATCGTTTAAACACATGACGCACACAGAAGCACAACTCCTCCACAACATAAAAAAAACGAAGTCCATAAAGTGAACATTTCCACTTTCTCTGGCAGTTCTTGTAAGTTTCCCGTTATATTTCTCCGTACAGCATTTGGCTTTGAACTTTTGCTACCCGACATCTTCTCTCTCTGTGACCTTAAATGTACTGTAACATCTCAAACCCGCCGATTTTGATCATTACTTGTGTAAATGCGATTTACTCAGATGTCAGATATCCCAACTCCAGGACTGAATTGGACACTATTTTTATACATATATATATATTTGTTACTGTTAGAACATTCACAGTTTTTAACCCCATCATTTTTACCCATCATGCCTGTCTGTCTAAGGACCCAGCTACCTGGACACCTTTCCATTCCAGAATCATGAGACCTCCGACAACTCATCTCGGCTCAGTCTTATTTTTAGATTTCCTTCACAACGAAGTCACTCTCTCGACTCGGTGATCTCCTGCACGGTTTCCCGCGCTACTTCCTTGGACTTGAGGTTGACGCTAACCATGTAAATGTTGTTTTCGCTGACGCTGTTGGAGACGTGGCACGCGTGGGAGCCCAGGCACGGCCACGACAGCTGCTTCACCTCCTTTTTGAAGCTCTGGCTGAAGAAGTAGTAGATCAAAGGGTTGTACACGGTGGAGCTCTTTGCAAACATGCAAGGCAGCAGACTGACCTCGGGCGGGATTCTGCTGCTGTCATTCAAAACGGACCACAGGCTCACCAAGCCGTAGGGCATCCAGCAAACCACGAAGCCTACGCTGATCAAAACGGCAATCTGCAACAGAACATCAGAGACGGTGAAAAAGAAATCCCACTGCAGCATCTGAAAATATAATATAAGTGCTTTAGCGGTTAATGTTCTCTTTGTCTTTTGGATTTGTGAAAAAAATATTTAGATTTAGTATTATTTTAGCTGAACTCACACTTTTCTGTTGTTGTTTTTGGTTTAAGGGTCTCTAGACAATGTGATTCTTACCAGCAAATTCCCAAAACACTTTGCGCTCGTTAAACTGTGTGCATTACGTGTAGTTGTCAAACTATATGCAGACTACACACAGCATCTTTCAGAAATTCATTTGTGTTGTTTTATCACATAAAATTAGGCTAAAGGAAAACGAATAATTTCAAAACGCACATGGGCTTTACTTTCGACAAAGACGCCGAATCGGTCACAGCCGTGTCGGCGCGGAGTAACTTACTATCAGAAGCCTCCGATGGAGTTTGACGATGTTGGGGACGTGGTTGCTGTTCGTCAACTTCTTGTAGGTGAAGTAGAGCCTTATGGTGATGCCAAAGTAGCAGAAAATGATGATGACACTTGGCACAAGCAGGTTCACGCAGAACAGAGAGACGACAAAAGAGAAGCCCTCGTGTTTCATTTGTCCCCAGGCGAGCGAACAGGACAGGCCGAAGGGCTCTGGGCCGTACCGCCCCCAGCCCAGAATGGGGAACAGAGCCCAGATCAGAGCGTACAGCCAGGTCCACATGCACAGCATCTTCACCTTCTTCCAGCTGATCTTCTCCTCTGCAGAGACAGAGAGAGAGCGAGAGAGAGCGGTAATTCGTTGGTAAAAATGAGAATTACCTCATTTTTACCAATGAATAAAATGAGGTAATTTTATTTTTGTCCATTTGTCCAGATTCAAACGGACAAAATGATAACGGCACAACCGACCGAACATTGTAATCATTGGTATGCAGCATAACCCATCAACATTCAAATCTACGATAATTCGACTAAATAACCGTGGTTCCAAACCAGGCAGAGTGATACTTCACATTTGTTTCTGCCATCAAAAGAATTGTTCATAAGAGGCAATTTGATTTCCTCCTCGTAGTGTTTAGCCTGGAGCTGTGTGCTGATGAGTCCTCCTCCAAGGTGAAACTTATGGAGTGAAAATAGTCTCAAAATATCTGTGCGTGTCATTGTTGCTGCTAACAACTAATCACATCTGTTTTATTAGTGTACGGCCAATACAGTTTTCTCGATATTTTTTTCTTTGTAACCCCTGGCTTACAGAGTGACGCACGTTCTCCCTGCAGGCGCAGGGTTTGCTCCGTGTGTTTCACCTTCCTCCTACACTCCAGACTCACGCATGTTGCATTAGCCACTCTGAAGCTCTCTCTGCTAGGTGTGAACACATGTTTGTTGTTGTCTGCCCTTTTTTCTGTGGGGTTCAGTCCTAGATTTAGTTCTGCACAGAGTTACTCTGGCAGCTCTGACAGAGACGATCTCATTCTTGACAAAAGCAACTGAATGCGCCAGCTGAGGCAAAACGTCATCACGTGTCAATCGCATGGAAAACCCTGACTTTTTGGATAGCGCGTTGCTTATAGTCTCTCTTTTTCTCTGACAACTTTTTGACGTTAAATATGTGTTGATGACAACTGAGCCAAAATCCTGCCACCCTGATGTCCGACAGATGCAAACCAAGTTTATACGTTCCGATGTTTTAATATTTCCTTTATAAGATTTCAACAAGAAACTACCTATCTTCCTGGAAGCAAATGATGACAACAACGTTTTTTAGACCTGGTTACCCATAACCCAACTTTAACTTTGCTTTTTCACGTCACAAACTGTGACAAAACAGATGCTTGAAAATGCTTTTCTGGATTCTGGCAGTCATATGTTGCTTGCTAGTTATTTTTTAATATTTAAAAAAAAAAGAAGAAGAAGAAACCAACTGAGATTTGAGGTTTGCAAAACTTCAATATGCTAATTAGTAGCAATGGTCAACCTTAGTTTACACGCGTCACTAACTTTTAACAATCCGAAGAAACCGATTTGACTGTACTTAAAGAATTTGTCTTGATCCACAAAGCCCAGGCAAAAAGAAAGATTCATGGAAAAATGTATGAAAGAATTAATTTATGATTAAAATGGCAGTTTCAAGAAAAGGGGTTGTGGGGGGACACACACCATAAACATGTAAAGACAAAATGAAAATGCAATTTCTTGAATAGAAGGTTTCATATTCATTAAAATCAAGCAGGAAACAGAACACACCTCTTCGTTTAGGTCAACAGTTTTATATACGAGCGCATTTTAAAAAAGAACGCCAATTCTTGTCGTACCTGTATTCATGCCTGCTGTGCTCACTCTCGACTCTGATGAAGACACACATGATGGTAAGTAAAAGCTGAATAGGCCTGGATCAGTGAGCTCCAGGCCTATTCTGTATCTTTCATGCTATGTGTATATTTTTTATTATAATTTATTTTATTATTATTATTATTATTATTTCCAAACATGAAAGCTGGGAGTTATGACCACACATATTCACTTCAATCTCAGCTTTGTCTTGGCAGCCATTTAAAAACAAGCTTTATTTTCTTTTAAATTGTTCTATAATGAACTTTAACATTAAACAGGTCCCATGTTTGCATTGAGCTTTTTACGCCTCTGGACAACCACAGCAGATATAAGATAATGGGTTTCTTGTGCTTATTTCCTTGATCTTGCTGACCAAAGAGCTAAAGATGAAGCTCTTCAGTGTTTTTTTTTTTAAATTGCCATATTGCACAGACTGACCTTGGGGTGAATTCTCTGGACCGCTGATTCCTAGGAAGATTGGAAATTGACTTAAATGTCTTTCTTGCTGTAAATTGATAGACTGACTATTGTTCAGAAATGACCTTCCAGACCTCAATGGTGCAATTTGTCAGCCTTGGCATCGTTTTAACCTCTGGAGAAGTAACCTACCAGAGCCCCTCCATCTACCGAGATGGTTTTATTGATTATCAACTAATCAAGTGCATTTGCTTTGCAACTCCTGGCTCCCTACTTCCCCTTTTAAATTGTATGGAAGCAGCAGAACTGGCATGGTGGAAATGATCTGTTTTCTCCATTTGACATGAGATTTAAATAATCTGGACTGCAGAGGTTGCGAAAACAGATGTTTGATGTTGCAAACCGCAAAGAACTTTCTTTAAAACAACAAATTTCAACTCAATTTAAATGACTTACTGGGAGAGTGCAGATTGAGGGACACAATGAAGCGCACTACGGCCAAGATGGTGAGGTTCATGATGCTGGCAATGCCAAAGAAGAAGCCCGCCAGACCGTAGTAGACGCAGGAAACGTCTCCGCCAAGCCAGCGGTGGCTCCAGGCCGAGGCCACGGCCAGGGGATACATGGTAACGGCCATGCCGAGATCCGTCACCGCCAAGTTCACGCTGAGCAGCTCCGGCGGCTTCATCCGGGACGACCTTCTGAACGCCATGATGAGGACGAGCAGGTTTCCCACTGCGGAGAGCACGGCTGAGACAGACGGGAGACAGAGACAGATGTCTGATCATTGTCTGATCAGAGCCACTCGAAGGGTAATCTTTCAGAAATGGATGTTGCTGGGAGTCAGAAAAGGTGCAGGAATGGCTACGCTAAGCCACAACACAATGAGATTCTTTCTGCACTCAGTTTGTGCTGAACAGGGAACCGACCCAGTCGATGGGCAGATGTTTGGGAAAAGCATGGGTAGGTTGTAGCTGGATCACAGGGACTTTTACAGCTGAGATTCTCCAATCCAATATAGCTTAAGAGTTCTTCTACGCACATTCCTATCGCATTTATACTTTTTCAGTGTAAAGAAACCTACTACACTGCAAAAACACAAAATCTCACCAAGTATTTTTGGTCTAGTTTCTAGTGAAAATATCTTGGTACACTTGAAATAAGGCAAAATTAACTTGCAGTAACTTTTCATCACAAAATAGGAGCTGGCTTTAGGGCAATCATTTCTTAATATTCATGAAAACTACTAGCACTAGTTTCACTGGCAGAAAGACATTTTTTTCATGTCATAAATTATCTGCCAGTGGAATTAGTACTTTTTCATCAATATTAAGGAATTATTTACTTAAAACAAGCTTCTACTTCTTACTGGAAACTTACTTGTAAGCTGATTCTACGTCATTTCAAGAGTATCATGACAAACTAATGGCTGATCAAGCTTAAAATTCATGCAAACAAACAGTTTTCCTATGCAACTCTAATCAGGACACATCGCTTACTGATCTCTAAGCAGTGCACTCAAACAGGAGCTGATTTTTGACTGGTTATCGATTCGGTTTCTTTGTTTATGAGACGCCAGATTTTGTTTGGTTCCAACAAGCTGAACAACGACTGAGCGCACCCTATCACGGCTTCAACAAAATACCAAGTCTGTTTTCAGTGACTGCCGATCAGTCAAGCGTGTAAACCTGAGAGGTGAAGGAAAGTGTAAACCAAACACACAAGGTGGGAAGTGCTAAATGCACGTCCCTCCTGCGAAGCAGAACGTTTTCGCCGAGCAAAATTCACCAAAGATTAAAACACAGTGACATAATTACCAGAAGCAACCCAAAGAAAGTGAATGTTGGTGTCATTTTACAGAGGATTAGACAATGGCTGTTCCTATAACAAAAACATGTGATTTAATAGAGTGCTGAGGTTCACAGCTATTTTAGAACTTGAAGAGATTTGTAAATCTAACTGAAAATGACTACAAATCCCTAATCTGCTTTATTTTTTCAGCACAATTAGATTTATAGAACTCCCAACACGACTTGCTTCAACATTCTTTAGCCGTGTAAATCTGGATCTGGGAAAACGTCTAGCAGTGGAAAATAACAATGACCAAATCACTACTTTAGCTTGCAATGGTCACACTTGTTCTTTTCAACCTGCAGTTTTAATTGGGGCATTTGACAAACCAGAACAGACGTCAGAAAAGTGTTCAACTCGCCGCCGTTACTATGGTGATTATTATAACAAGAGGAAGTAGTGATAACTTAACAGGATGTTTTGCTTTAGCGTCCTACATTTTCATTGGCGTTTGCGTCTTCACTGCATGAAGCAGACTCCTTGAAGTTGAACAGCTTGGCTGCATATTCTCTGGACTTTAGACAGATTTAATGTCTGATCCTTCTGCATCGATTGTGCAGATCTAATAAGGCCACGTGGATCTGGCTTTTCGGGCCGTTCTGAGTGCAGTTTGCATGTTCTCCTTGTGCGCGTGTGTGTGTGTGTGTGTTTTTCTGGGTATTCCAGCATTCTATCATCATCCTCATTATGCTAAATTGTATATTGTCTCCATGTCATTTATTGCACACAATTGAACAAACTTGCAAGTTGTTTTCGGTAATAAAAAAAAAGGCAAGCTATTGCTATCAAACCTCGTTTTACTCCAGAACCATTTACTGCAGTGGGACTGTTTTTTTCATGAGCAATGTAATTACACAGATGCCCAAAATCCTAAGTAAAACATAACCACAAATGCACGTTGTCTACTTTAACGGACAAATACTTTGTTGCAATTTCCTTTCAAAACACGATAATTTCCTAAAAATCCCCTCATACATTTGAGTCGTCTGATGTTAATTGATGCCTCTTCTATCCTTTTCGTATTTATCCAGATATTCCAGACCAGCTAGTCATTTCTGGCTGACTGCTTGTCATGTGGATTAATGGTTTAAAGATGAACTTCCACCTGCTATCCAATAGGTGGCAGTGTATGCGGGAACATGATGGTGTTTCTAAACATCCACCAAAGGAGAGCAAAAATGGTTTTTGTTTCTTTTCACTGTGGTACCTAGTAAGCTTGAAAGTGATAATCATGTTAGGTGTGCATCAGAGATGGTGTTAGGACCCTGAAACATTGAGTTTAGCCCACAAACAGTTAAACTTCAGCATGAAATACAGAAGGAATGTTAACAAATCAGAATATTAGGAAAGTGTATGCTAAATGATACCAGGCCTGAGATATGCAGGAGAAATACTCCAGTGGCAAAAAGCTTTTCTTTACTCTCCATCTGAGGGTAAAACTGTGCTGTTGGTGGCTAATGGGCAGATTACTAAAGAGCACTGCCAAGTGTAAAACTGTCATTCAAGCTAGCTGTGTAGCAAAATAGACTGAAAATGGCTAACAAATATTATTTATCTGCTGCCTTCTTTAATCAAACCATGTCTTCAAACTGTTGAAGAGAACACATTCACCCGTGAGCCAAGTGAAGGCATAATTTTAGAGTAAATCGTACAAGATTTTGAATTTTTAATAGCATATCAAGGATTTTAATCTTGACCTGACAAGTTTGCAGCACATCACATGTAATTAGCTTCTGTGTGTCGGTTCTCTTTTGCTCTCTAGTATGAAGCAGAGGCATTCAGGTCCAGTTTTCATGATTATTATTATTATCTTTACCTTTCTTCCCCTCTTACTGAAAAGGTCAGCATCGCGACTAATCTTTTAACTTTTCACAAACAACTAGAGGTTCAGTCTGGGTTCAGTCCGAAAACTAGAATGAGAACCGCCTTCAGAATTTAATTGCCTTTTTAATTCAGCGGCAACAGATAACACACTAATTAGGATGTTCAAACATTTACTGTGACATCCCGTCATGCTAAAACTGAAACTGTGTATCATCCTAGACGCAGGCAGTCAGGTGTCTGGAAGCCCACTGTCATCTCCAGCCTTGTGGCCAATAAACTGTCACTGATAAATTACCTCAAAGGTTGTGGTTGTAAAATAATAAAATGTAGAAAAAGTTCCAAGGACATGGATAATTTTCCAAGGCATGTACTTTTGACTTATCTGGCATATAAAGAGTAAATGTTCCCGTCTTGTTCCTTAAAACTGCGATATTAAGCTTTAACACTTTCTACCACAGCCTGGAATTAATCTTTAGCCCCAAACTTCACCAAAGAGCCACTTTGGGACTATAAAGCTCAGAGCTCAGCAGCCCAATCGACTTCCAGCTCACTGAGGATTACTTTCAAGGAAGCGTTACTAAGTCAATATAGCTCTAAAAAACTCACAGAGCAAGAACAAAGAGGGAATCGATGGGGACAAACAACGTTAGCTTGACTGCTTAGGACAACAAAAGGACGTGAGTTTTTAGCATACACACGCTCTCTTATCAATGACTGGAGTGAAACACAAGTAACATCTGGAAAGCCTTGTTAATTTTAGGTTAATGGATCTTTCCATTAAATAAAAACATTCCTTTGTTTTATAACGTTCTATTGACTGGGAGGGATTATCCAGTGGTGGTGGTGAGTGGATGTAGCATTAGCATAAAGGTAAATGGTAAAAAAAACAAAACATAATTATACATTACTATTTTAAAAACAAGTACAGTGGAAAATGTATAATTTACTCTAATGGCTTTTGATGCTTTTTAAACAACTTCATCATGACATAAATGTTTAATTTTGGTTATTTTAAGAATGTATTTGAACTGTTATTATTTCAGGTCAGTCAAGGTTGCAACAAATATAATATATACACCCATACACGTGCACGCACACACACACACACAAACATGTCTTTGGTCTCTTTCCATAAGCTTCACACAATAGTAGGTTCATTTCAAAATCTGAAAAAAAAGCAAGAAAAACATTCTCCCTCTCACTATTTATTCATGATAAACAAACAAAATGCACAACATTTTCTCACTCGCAGCCCTTGCTTACTTTAAAACCTCACAAAGCTCAAAAATAGAAAAGCCCGGGCCATTAAAGGTCACAGAGACACTTCATGATCTGCATCCTGATGCGTCTTGCCAGAAGAAAGTGAGCTACTTGCACCCATATCTTACTGTCTTCCCGCATTGCCAGCACCAGAGGCTGACCTAGAGGTTTAGTTCAGTCTGACTTTATTGCTACGTCTCATTTCAAAGCATTCGCTCTGTTTAGTGTTCTATATCCAGCAGCAAAAGGAGTTAAAAATATCTCAGTGTTGACTGTTTTAGAGCTCCTAATGGACTGCCACCTGAGTGTTTTTTTTTTTGCTAAACTGTTGTATTTAAAAAAAAACAAAAAAAAAACTCTGCAGGACAATTAGGTCAAGCTGCAGACCACAGGGGACTGAGGTGGCCGTTGGTCTCTGGGACACCCTGCCAAGGAGCATCAGATCTGAACCCGCCCAAGAGATGAATAAATCTTAAATTTTAAAGATTTGCTATTTCTGGGGCACCGAGTGCCACCTTGGGTAGAGCAGGTGCCCCGAGTAATGGAGGCCAGCAATCATCAATGGAGGTTTTATGGATTTACATTCAAGCCTGGAGCCGTTAATGGACAACTTCCTCTTCTTTCTGTCTTCTTTTCTATCTACTAAACCGCAGAGTAAAGGTCATTAGATACAATATTTATTTTTCCCTGATTTTAAACTCAGTTGAGCTGAAGCGGTTAGTTTATTGTTACGCTTTTTATTGAATCGTTTCTTTTTAAAGTTTGTTTCAATCAGGCTTTTGCACACCATTTTATTAAAATGCACATTAGTGAATACGTTTTATAAGCCTTAAGCTTAAAGTGGATCGAATTAAACTGAGACACGCATCAACCAGAACACCGAGTGCGCACGACTTTTGGTGAGCGAAGTGGTGCCGCGGTCCAAGTCTCTTAAAAACATGCCTCAGAGTTCACTTATAGTAGTTTCTCTCTGGATAATTTGTCTTTTTCTGAATCCCAGAATGCATTTATAAGCTGAATATTTGACTTTACGTGAACCACATCCTTAGAAACGGTGAAAGCTTAATTAATAAGATGATTTTTAGTTTTTAATTGAAAACCATTTTGGTTCTGCTTGTGTCGGAGCAGCAGGCAGATGTAATGTGTGAAATCAAGACCTCTCTCATCTTGGCTGATTACGATTCCTCCATCTGGAGCTTTGTCACATGACTAGACTCACAGTGGAGGAAGGATTTAGATCCTGCTGTGTAACTGAAGTTACATTTGGATTCACATTTGAAGAGACAGATTCAAAACCCGAAGAAAACAATCCATCCCGTTCTGGCTGAGAGCCATGAGCTCCGACTTGAAGGCTTTTCATTCCAACAGCTTAACAGTCTGCTGAAGATCCGACTAGAGGTCATAGTCTGAAGACACCAACAGAACAACATCGGTCCGTATAGAGGCGAGATGCAACCCAAATGTTTGTACACCTAAACAGCCGCCTCTTCATGTTGTGGTCCATTAAAACCACAACACCAGATCAGCTTCAAATCCCAGGCCTTGTTGCAGAAACAAACCTGACTGCGTGCCAAGAAGTCTCTCCCAGATCCTTCTCAAGAACATCCCAAACTCCCAGCAAAACCCTCAGCATTAAACAAGCGCAAACATCTGCCTCTTCTGACTCTACAGTTGTGGAAAGGAGGGGGTTTTTTTTGTTTTTTTTTTTTACAAAGAAACACTTTGAGGCTCAACCTGCAGTAAAAAGATCTGGGACAACAGTTCACATCTCCACCAAATGTCACCTACATTTCTGCCAAATAGTTTAGCTATAATTGCCTTTTATGTTTCAACTAAACTTTGATTTATAGTAGTTGATATGGCAGTTATCCAGGGTTTGATTCTCAACCTCAGGAGCTTTGCTGCACATCCGTCCCTCATTTCTTGTCTAAGACGCTGTGAAAAAGGGCAACCAGTGCTCGGAAATCCATTTAATTTATATTTACAAAAAAATCTTCTCTACTTATTAGTCATGCCTTTTAAAATGCTTGCTAACACAAATAGTAAAGCAGCCAATCACATGACAGCAATTTAATGTATATAGGTGTCTAGATGTGGATTGAAGTGAAAAGCAGCAGAAGACCCCAGCAGGTGCCTCTCCTGTCTGCTAGAAGCAGAAGGCCGACACAAGTTCACCAAAGTTGGACATCAACAGATTGAGAAAATGACATCCGAATCCAGTGGGACGTTTTTGGGACGTGGCGTAGCAGGAGATTCTCATCACGTATCAGCAGCAACTCTGTGATGGCATCACTTCAATATATGCAACAGAATCTATAAGCAATGTCTCCGACGTCTTGTTCAGTCTATGTCATGAAGAACTGAGGCAATTCTGATTGAAAAAGGAGGTCTGTACCCACTGACGTGGTTGGTGTGGGTTGACGCTGGACAAAAAAAGTGGATTTTTTTTCATCATATTTCTTTCTTTGCTTGCATATATCTTAGAAAGGACATATATCACAAGGGAAAAAACAAACTTATTTCAGAAATCAAACCTCATCCAACAGCTCAATTTATGGTTTTTGAAATTCTGACAGGCTTTAGCATCTTATTACTTCTTCTTAATTCTGCCTTTATTCCCGAAACTAGGCAAAAACTGATACAATCTTGGAATTTTTTCTTCAACAGGCAGGTGAACTGTATCCATTTATAATCAAGACACGCAGAAAAGTGAACCGATCACCTAAGTCTCATGTGACGTGATCCAAAGCACAGCAGAAACCTTTTTTTTTGTGCTGTTTCTTGCTTAGTCGAAAGTGTCGTTGCCAAAGCAACTGCTTTCAAATGGTAAAGTACTAATGTAATGCGTAAATGACAAAAAAACAACAACAACAAAAAACAAACAAACAAACAAACAAAAACACACCAAAAAACAATTATAATTCGTTTTTCTACTTACTTAAAACCAGCAGGTAGCAGCCTGCGCCGATATCCAGCGCCGGTGAGAGCGCTGAGGCGTAAATATCCATTTGGAAAGATGGAAAAATAAAAATACAGGCGTTTATTTAGAACGGAAGGGTCCTCGTGTGATGTTTAAGTGAAAGTGTGCCTCTGCAGGTTCTGCTGCGCATCCATCTGTCCGCACGCAGGGAGCGGAGACAGGGGGGCTGCAGCTGTGCGCGCACAGCCGGCCAGATCCAAACAGGGGAGGTCGTGCGTAAAGCGGCAGCGCTGCCGTCTGAAGCCTCCCTCTGGTGCTATAGTGTGACTTAACCTTCAGGAGGAGGAGGGACGAGCTTTGATATAAGAATCAAACCTCTTGGAAGTGACTCAGCAGAGGGAAGAACGATGTTTTCCTGACGCATAAACGATCTTTGCGACAGTTTCCTTTCCACTCCCACCTTCCCCCTAGAGACCACTTTAATTCATATGAAAGGTTGACAAATTGGAATATAATTGAAATGTAAATTTATTTCAGAAAAAGTCAGCTAAAAAAAAGAAAGAAAAACACATGCATTAAACTCAGAAGGATACACTGAAATCACTGTTTGGTTCATTCGGATGAATTTGGCTCACAGCTAATAAATGCCCAAAACTAGATTTTGACAGAAGACCAAAAAAAAAAAAAAAAAAAAAAAACCTTTCCGTTGCAGAAAT